TTTTGATGAGAAATATATTTTTTCCCTGACTTGATGTAACTGAAGTGATGTGTTAGGTGGAAACAAAGTTTATTTTGATTTTGTCATTGTCCATATGACACTCAAAGAAAAGTCCTGTTTTCTTTCAAGCCTCACAATGGCTTAGAAAAGCATCCACTTCTTCCCCCAGTGCCTTTGATAGAGACATGGTTGAATAATCGTACATTTAGTGCTTACAAAATGTCTGATAGTGGTGATGCTTTCTCATGTGGTGAATACAGCTGTAGAGTTGTATTGGGGCCAACAAACGTTTGTGAAGATGAGCTTGCCTTAATTAAGCTTCTTGGAGTTTATTCACTAACATGCAAAATTAACTAAATGTGGGCAATTTGCTCTAAATTTCCTAAAAAAGAATTTGTAAGAGGTTGTTAATCAGGATGGTGCTCTCAACTCCCTCTAACTTTCTGTCATTTGAATTTAGACAAAACCCCCTTATTCAGTCTTAAACTGTTCTTTTCCTGTGTAAATGTTTAACAAATAACTTGTTGGAGCAGCAGCAAAGCTGGGTGAACCTCTCTGCCTTCTTTTAGCTTCTTTTATTTAACCTGAGCTATGCGTAGTCCAGCATCTAAAAATAGCAACTTGTGTACCAGGGCCACTAAGTAAGGCATGAAAAATGTATGTAACTGGGTACATGAGCAGTGGAGTAGATACTTATTTGTGTCTGTATGGTCAGGTCTTTTAAAAATTAAGAATATGGGGGGTGATTCCCAAACTCTGGCAAGGAAGTTGGGGTAATAACAAGCTCTATGAGTCAGACCTTAACAATAATATTATTAAATTAATAAATGTGATGCTTATGTGAAGAGGAAGAAGACTAGCTGGATTTTGTACTTGTCAATGTTTTGAGTTAGATTCCATCTATAACATTATGCTTCCTGTGGTCTCTGGAAATGGTGTCTTATGAAACAGACCCTGATCCTTATGAAGTTCGTGGAATATCCTTAATGAAATGTCAGATGATAAGTTATGTAAACAACAGTTTAAGAACTCCATACAAAGGACATTCACTTTAGTGCTGACCATGTGCTAACTTGTTGATGACTGAGCTTTCACAAGCAATGTTGTTTTCCAAACTCTGTAGCATCAAGTGAAATAGTTGCCTGAAGGCTTCTTTGGTTTCTCCAAGTAGGTTTCAATCCCTGTTGCACAAATGAGTGCAGTCTTGGTTTGCAGGTGTTTCACAATGTGCAGTGATATAGTGTAGACCATGTCACAAATCACTGTTGCACAAATCACTGTTGCACAAATCACTGTTGCACAAATCACTGTTGCACAAATCACTGTTGCACAAATCACTGT